AATTCATTATAAGTATCACTCACTCTACAAAGGTCATAATTTCCTGACTTTTTATCATAATAGTGATCCTTGAACAGGTTAGCATAATCTCCGACGAACTCATCAATCTTCACAAGGGAAAAAAGAGAACCAACGAACAGATTAGATAAGCAAATAATAAAGATAAAGAAATTCAAAATTACATGGTCACAACTCTAATATTATTAGAATGTGACACATATAATACTAAACACACTTATATCAGAAAATGAGTCACTTTGATGAAAAGAATAAGCATCAAGATGAACAAAAGTGATAATGCAGTTATGGTTGTTTATTGAGGTAAAACGCACCATTCCATTCGAGTTCAAAAAATTATCAGAAGGACACATATAATACTAAACACACTTATATCAGAAAATGAGTCACTTTGATGAAAAGAATAAGCATCAAGATGAACAAAAGTATAATGCAGTTATGGTTGTTTATTGAGGTAAAACGCACCATTCCATTCGAGTTCAAAAAATTATCATCAGGACACCCGCATATTTCTTCAAGAGCTATGAAATAACTATAATTTCTAAAATGATTACTTTTTTCCAATATAGATTATTACTCTCCTTCACATAGTCCTCCTAAAGTAAATTTTTAGTATTTAATAAGGCGTGCATGTAAAATGTAATTGTATCGTGTAAGTATGAAACCCGTCACGTATAGCACCTCTCTAGCTACCAGAGAGCTGGGTGTGCCTATACAAGACCCTTATGTCTACAGTACTTCAAAATTACAAAAAAGCATAAACCTTTTGTTCAACTTAAGAAAAATATGGGGTGCATTTCATCCCCTTAGCAAAGAAAGAATATTTTTTTTACCAAATTAATCCACTACTTAATAATCTATATGAACAACATCTTGACATACAAAGTGATATTGTAAACATGAGAAAGTTAGCGGAAGCAAATCGTGGAGGAAACAAGGTGGCCTCACATTGAATGAAGTCATAATTGAAAGTTGAAACCATAACAGTCAATTTTCATTCGCAACGAAACATTGCTCCAAATGTCGGATTTAGGACTAATGCAGATGGGAAAACTCCATGCAGGATCACACTATACCAGAGACATTATGGTATTCAGTCAAAATCAGGCATCATAATGGCCATAGATAAACGTTCTACATGTCCTCAATGAAAACTCTATAAGGCAATATATCCACAAACAATTAAAACCTAGTGCCAATTAATAATTAAATTCATTTAGCACGAAGCCAAAAAAAGATTCTGTTAATTAACAAATCATCATTTATCCAGTTTAACTGATCGAGGGAAACCCCCGCGCCGCTTTATTTAAATGAAAGAGGGACTTGACAAATAATGTTCTCAGTTTTAAGGGTACGAAGACAAAAAAGCACAGGACCATTCTGATTTCAAGTAATCTAGGCTGATTTTTACTATCTGCAATATTGGCCTACATATGGGCCTATTTGTTGCCATGGTCAACATTTCAGACATGAGGAACAACATTCAGAACAATGCAAGAGATAAAGTAATATTTCTTATAATAGTTCGCATGCAGTCAATCGACTATACTAAGAATGCTAAGCCTTTTTTTATAGTAAATTTTTTGCGTAAAGCCAATGAATTTATACTATGATCAGCTAAACAAATTGATGTTTAAAATATCTGAAACCTACATAAATCTAAAGATACGCCTTTTTATCTTAGAATAACAAAAATATTATAAAATAAAAAAGGATATTATACACTTCCGTACAACTAACCTAAAAAATCTAGTCTTGCCAGATTTAAATGACAGCTACAGTATCCCATGCTGCAATATTGCTATGGTCCTATTATATTACATTACTACAATATAGGACCAATATGAATCCGCAGGACTGTATACATGTAGGACCCTCAGTTAGGGGTAAACACAACGGACACAAAGCGCATAGCCTACAAATTGGGGTCCAAAAATATTACCCATTATAATAATCTGCTTTGATATCTATCATGAATATTAGTGTCCGTTCCGGATAATAGATATAGTCCAAGTTCTGATAATATCCAGATTCAGAGAGATATCCAAAAATAAGGAGGAAAATAAATCCAGTTCTATATAAAGCTCACCAAAGCCTATATTACAACCCTGAATCTAAAGAGTGTAGTTACTAATTACTAAGTTACAAAGAACTCGTATATTAATTATAGTTTACTACATATTTATAGTATTAAGAAAATATATAGAGCAAGTTCCACAATATCCACATCCATGCTGCTTATAGTTTGATGTGTAAATGGAGCATGGAGATGCTGATTATTACTATCCACAAAGGGGATTTAGATGTTCTGAGTGTCAATTTACATCTCCAAAGTCCAAATATGCTCAAGTAACTAAACCTGAAAAGTCTATTTATGAGTGTCCGGGTCTTTGGTTTTGTCGAATGGGCTCCAAATTGAACTTATCTGACATCATAGTTCTTCTCATTGTAAAATAATACATACACTCTGAAAATGCACAAGATAATCTTGTTTCATGTATGATTTTGGAGTATTGGCATCCATGTTCTAATATGATAGTAGTATCACTCTCTATTTATATAGGACAAGGTGCACAACATCATAATATACTGCTCAGCTATAGGTTGGATATGACAAAATGAAGATGTTGCATTTTTCTTAGTCGTCTTCCATAATAACATATCTTATTCAGAAGGAATTAAATTTCAGTGTATCTATGAGGAAAGAGATCATGTAAAGGCTTATAATGTATCAAGTATAAACTGTTGACATGGGATTATGGACTATATATATTGCTAAAATAACTACAAATTGTTAGCCTGACCTCTTTTTCTTGTCCAAACATAAAAAGCTCCTTCCTGTTTCTTAAAGTGCCTTCATGTTCAGCGCTATCAGCATTTCTGCAGAATAAATCTCACCCTCTGGTATCTCTCCTTAAATAATCAAGAATATTACTTGCCAATTGCCGTTGATGAATAAAAGACGTCCTTTGTGATTGAAAATGTATCCAGATAAGCATTAACAAGCTGCCCCTCATCATACAACATCTTCTTAAAATGCCGGCCTGCAAAGGGAGGGAATGGATCATCAGCAACAAATGAAATTTATTATAACAGGAGTTGTGTACAATGCAAAAGCACCAACAAACCTAAAGTAGCAGCAGGAAGGGGGTTGTTAGCTTTAACATAGGTTTCAAGTACAATATAATCACGTGGCATCACCCCAATGGTTCTCCTACTAGCACTTAGTTATTTACACAACAAAGGTCATGCCAAGTAATGACACCTGGCCAATTCAAATTTTTTTCAATTGTTATTTTATGATTACAAAGGCCCTTTAGACTGCTCAACTTCAAGAGGAACTTTTGTTTCATCCTTTTTTGCTCACCTGCTTTTTATGGTATGTGGTTATAGTTAAAGTCATGAACCATTATATAAGGGATGCATGCAGTTTTTTCCCCTTTTTTCTTTTATTAGAAAAGATCCAATAGTTTATATCACAGAAGGTTTCATGATGAAAGAAACTTTTGCTGTATGAATGCACACATTTATGATGATAAACTTTCATGTGAGTTCGATATGATAAATTTTCATGCAAATTGTAGCCGGAGATGTTGTGTAATCAAATCACATCATTGTGGATGAGGAGATCTGAACTCAAAATTCTCTATGAAGGAAGAACATTGAAATACCATCCAAGCTTATGCGATGTAAAACTATCAAGCTTCCGATTTATAATGTAAATTGAAGTTTAATTGAGCCCAAAGCCGAACAGCTGAAACTAGAACCACACTTAAAGCTTTGGTGATGACTTATTCAAAAAGAAAAAAAAAAGAGAGAAGGAAAGAAAGAGGGGATATTAGTCAAGAACCTTTTAGTTAGGAAGCTGCACTAGTGCACGGGTTATAATTGTTACAGTATACACATTCACATTTTACACTGACCATTGGGTTGTGCAGTAAACACCCATGCAATATCGATAAGAGGTAGAATACAATAAAAGAACACGAATTGACAATGTTTGGAGAAGAACACTACCAAAAGTTAGGCTTCTGCACATCAATGAAGGAAAACAAATCTTAACAGTACTAACCAATTCGTGTATCCTATCATCCTTCTAATATATTCTCTGATACCTTTCCATACAACTTTTTAGACATTATGGTGACAATGAAATATTTCAAGGTCAGAAGAATGATATTAGATGATACAGTTCTTAGATAATTTACAATGCATTTCTGAAAAAAAATAACTTATATAAAAAATTCATGCATGCATACATTTGATTGGCTTGCTATACATACCATAGTATTGCATCCTGGAAAGATTCAGTTATTCTCCCAATAAATTAAATTTTCAGTTTTCACAAGTAGTTCAACTCATCTCATAAATAGGCATGCTCCTCTCTGCCATCTCCTTCTGCAGAGCTGTTGCCTTGCTTCCATCTCCTGATCTCATATATGCACTTATCATTGTTTTATACATACCAAAATCGGGAGCCAGATTCTCCTGCAACATTTGATGATACAACTCGTCAACCTCTTTAATCTTCCCATGGTTGCTCATCGTACTAATCAATATATGATACGTGGCTATGCTTGATTGAACTCCAAGCTGCTTCATCTCTTCACGTAGCTGCAAAGCTTTATGCATGTCGCTAGCACTGCAATATCCTGAGATTAGAGTATTGTATGTGATTACATCAGGTCTCAATCCTTCATCCCTCAACTTGTGCATCAATATCTGAGCATCAGAAACATGCCCATGTTTACATAGACCTTTTATAAGAGAATTACAAGTAATAATATCCGGAGAAAGCCCACTTTTCTTCATATTGTCGACAAGTTCGAGAGCTTTGTGCTGATCGCCTGATGCGCTATACGCATCTATGAGTATATTGTAGATTTGGACACTTGGTGCAATATCTTTATCCACTATATCTTCAAAGAGCTTAACAGCCTCATTTAGCTTCTTGTTCTTGCAAAATGCATTCATGAGAGAACCATAAGACACTACTGTTGGCTTGAGCCCAACCTTTTCCATTTCTTCCAGAATCTCAAAGCACCTCTCGAAATTGTTAGCCCTTCCATAGCCATCAATCAAGCTATTGAAAGTTTCTATGCTTGGACCAAACCCATTCTCGCCCATCTCTATTACAAAATTTTCCGCTTCTTTCATCCTCTCCATCTTACAAAATGCATTTATCAACGAGTTATAAGTAAACCGGTCAGCTTTAAGTCCATATGAGCTCATACTCTCGACGACCCTTATTGCTGCATCAACATCCCAAACCCGACAATATCCATCAACAAGTGTGTTATAAATCACAGTCGTAGGAACTAGTCCTTTCTTCACTAACCTCTCGAGCACCTCTTCTGCCTTTGAAACCCTCCCATCTTTACAAAGACCATTGAGCAAAACGCTACAAGCGTAACTATCAATCTTGAACCCCTTCCTCATTGCTTCCTCAAAGAGATCAACGGCTGCCTCAGTATCACCATTCCTCGAGAGCCCATCAAATAATATACTAAAAGTGAACCCATCAGGAACAAGACCATTAGCTTCCATCTCTGCCAGCAAATTCTTACTCTCCTCTGTCCTTCGAGCTCGACAAAACCCATTCATCAAACTATTATAAGTAATCACATTTGGCTTCAACCCAGAAATCAACATCCTCCCCTTAACAGAAAAAGCAGCATCCAAGTTGCCAGATTTACAATACCCATCAATCATGCTATTGTAAGTGACTTCACTCGGTGATATCCCTCTCCCAAGCATTTCATCAAACAGCTTCTCTGCATCATCACCTCTCTTTTCTTTCCACAACCCAGATATCAAAACATTGTACGAAAACTTATCAGGCACAATCCAATCCTTCTCCTTCATTCTCTTAAACAGCGCCAGTGCTCGATCGATGTCTCCAGACTTGACGCACGATTGCATCGCCTTGTTATAAGCAAACAAATCTAGCCGAATTCCCCAAGAATCGATCTTTGAAAAGAGCGAAAGGGTATCAGAGTAACGGCGTGTAGAAACCAAATTTTCAAGTAACAGGTTGATCGAGTGAAGAGAAGGCGACGGATGTTGATTCTCTCCGACATGGGCGATGATATCGAGGGCAGGTTCGGCCAATTTGAGCTGGGCACAGCTTGCGATGAGAGCGCTGCTTAAGGATGATGCCAGTGGAGGGAATGAATTAGCCAGAGATTGATAGAGATGAGAAAGGGCTTGGAATTGAGGGTTTTTTGAGATGATCTCAGATTTTGTGAGAGACACAGCAGCTTGAAACCGATCAGTTTCTAAGAGGGAGATGAGTTTTCTAATGGGTTCTTCTTCAACCTTGAGATTGGACTTCACAGAGTGAAAAAACCTCTGAAAATTGAGAGATTTCGCCATGTTCGATGCTTTGCTCCAACGAGAGGGTTTCGAAAATTCAGGGTTTTGAAGACTTTGGTTTCCTAACGGGTCGGGTCGGGTCGGGTTTGATACCCTTAACCCAACTCGGGCAATCGCTAGGGTTTAATTTGAAAGGGGACGAAGTTCGGGGAGATTTGAAAAAAGAAATGGAGGAAAGACTGAGCGAAGACGAGAAGCGAGCGCTTCGAGGGAGCAAATTCGCGCCGCTGCGGTGGCGGGCGACCGCATCAGTAATCGAGAGCAGCCAAGGTTTGGTAATTTTTATGATTATTTTTGGATTTTATGGTCAATTAATTGTAATTTTGTTGTGTTTTCTAATTAAAATTTTGAATTTTTTGACGGGAAAAGGTTAGCTCATCCTGGTGGGCCCATGACAACGAACAAAGCGGCGGCGCTTGCGAAGTTTCTAGAGAGGAAACTGCAGCAGCCTGGTGGTCTTGATTCTATTGATCCTCAGCTTCTTGAAGTTGCTGTGAAAAATGCAAAGGAAACTGTGACTTCCAGCTGCGGTAATTCTCAATTGGACATCAAAATCTTTTATTAGTCATATTTCAGTTATATTACACAATGTTATTGTATGTTTCGAAATTTTTTGAGAGTAAAAGGAACAAGTATGAGACTATGCTTACATGAATGGTAAATGGCGATGAAGTCAGGGAATTACCTTGTTAGTGTAATAATTTTTTCAAAATAGTACAAAAAATGTAGTTCAGTTAGCACAATCCTAAACAGGATTGGGAAATGTTTGAGGTTTCAGTCAAAATCTTATACTCCTTAATGTTTATCGAGATACGGATTTTGGATTATTAAGGCATATATATTTAAGATACGGGTTTAGGAGAAGTATTTAAGGGAAATTTGAGTTTCAAGAGAAGCTGTACTGAAATGTCGATAAACATTAAGGGACATCAAGATTTTCAAGGTTATTGTGAGAGGTTATCGTGAGAGAGAGAGAGAGAGAGAGAGAGAGAGAGAGAGAGAGAGAGAGAGAGAGAGAGAGAGAGAGGTTATTGTTTAGAACCAGCATTGAGGAAACTATGGCCTTGCCTTCTTTCTTAAGATTAGGTTTGTTTTTAAATTGTCGAAAGAGTACCTTTTGCAGGTCAGCTTGCAAATTTTAGGACTTGCTTACTGCATGCCTGCTTTCTTTCTTAATGAATGATGTCTCAACCACTTTCCCATATATCTGATGGTGGTTTGCTTTAAGCAGAACAATGTGTAGGGAGGATTGTGATAGCTCTACAATTTAGAAAGAAATAAATGTGTAGAAGTCCTTAGATTTCTCACAAAAAACTAAGACCCTCATTATTGCATCTTGAAACTTTATCGGCCTCGATTAGGCACTTATCCAGCATATGCATTTTTATGGTTTAAAAAAAAACACTTTCATCTCTCTCTTTTTTGTTGAAAATTTATGGCTTATGAAACATTAAGAGAGGCAAATTAAGGAGGAACATGTGTAGGAGATCGGCACAACGAAAGATGTACAACATGAAAAGCAATAGAATGATAGAGAAACATAACCAAGAGAGAGGGGTACACACCATCTTGTAAGCAGTTAATACATCCCCCAGGGAAGGAGGCTGAACATTTTCACTATATGAAAGAGAAGAGTATAGCAATAGATAACCACCCCTGATAGCATACCAACTCTCCCACATAAAGGGCTCACAACAAGGACTTCCGTTTTACAATAAGCTATTTTCCAAAATTGTGAGAAATCCTTTTAGCAATAAGTATTGGATGGATGATACAAAGGCTCTCGAGTCTCCTATAAACTCATTCTAGTTTGATTTAAAATATCCTAATATTACTAACTTGATTAAGAAACTTAAAATACTTATTTCATTAGGATGATACACAATAGTCATCCAAGCATCACAGATACAACGTTAAACTCTAAAAGAGTTCAAACTCTATTATGAAAAACTGTCCCCAAAGGGATTTGGAGATGAATCCTGAATTTGGTTCCAATGATATATTCTTGTGTTCTTCCTTAGTTTGGGAAGTCAGTTTTTTAAAAAATTGCAGTTCCTAAAGGAAGGTGTTGAAAATAAGAGTCTAAGACTGAAGAAAAATCGAAAATGTAAGGATCTCAAGTTTTTCGGTATATAGTGAAGACGATACACAGCAGGTAAGATAGATAATATCTTCAGTTAATAAAACTAATTCCAGGAATCGTAATTTCTAGTATTTGTGTAAGTGCTTTGCAGTTGAGGAATTCTGATTCCCTAGTGCATTGCACTTTGATTTCTTTTCACTTATTCCTTAATCTACTAGTACGTATGTGTTTTAACTATGACTGTCAATCTGTTTAGACTTCATTGCGGTTCCAACGATATATTCTTGTGTTCTTCTTTATTTTGGAAAGTCAGTTTTTTTTAAAAATTGCAGTTCCTAAAGGAAGGTGTTGAAACTACGACTGAAGAAAAATCGAAAATGTAAGGATCTCAAGTTTTTCAGTATATAGTGAAGAGGATACACAGCAGGTAAGATAGATAATATCTGTTCAGTTAATAAAACTAATTCCAGGAATCGTAATATCTAGTATTTGTCTAAGTGGTTTGCAGTTGAGGAATTCTGATTCCCTAGTGGATTGCACTTTGATTTCTTTTCACTTATTCTTTAATGTACGAGTACGTATGTGTTTTAACTATGACTGTCAATCTCTTTAGACTTCACTGCGGGTCCTATCCGTGGTGCTGATTCAACTATCTCAAGAAGACACCAAGACTCTTAGTGGAGAAACTTATCAAAACATATTCATTTGCTACTATTGAATTGTCTGTTGTTCCTCCTTGCATCCCTCAACCTGCTAGGCTAACTTCTACAAAGGTCTGGAGAGACTACAAACAGAGAGGTGTTTGGGTATATGATATATCTGGTCACCAATGAGTATTATATCTGTCCTGGCTCTGGCTGTGGGCGTGATTGGTCCAATTGCTCCACTATCATCATAGAGAAGCCCAGAGTAGTTCAGATCATCGATGGTGAATAGTAACCATTGATTGTTAAGTTGCTTATTTCATATTTCTAATATGTTTTTGGATTTAATTTCAGCCATTGATTGTTTAGAGTGTATATGCACTTTCCTCATGTTTTTCAATAGAGATTCCTGGCATAATTGGGAGAGAAAAAGAAAGCACTTTCCTCATGTTTTTCAATAGAGATTCCTGGCATAATTGGGAGAGAAAAAGAAAGAAGAAGAAGAGAGAGAGAGGGAGAGAGAGAGAGAGAGAGAGAGAGAGAGAGAGAGAGAAGGGAGGGAGGGAGTGGGAGGGGGAACGCGAGGGCAGGGGGATGGGGAGAGAGAGAGAGAGAAGAGAGAGACGAGATTCCTGGCATAATTGGAGAGAAAAAAGAAGGAGAGAGGGAGAGAGAGAAGAGAGAGAGAGAGAAGAGAGAGAGAGAGGAGGGAGGGAGGGAGGGAGTCCTTTGGCCTATTCTGCTTCCTGTACCCGATACACTTCTTCTTGCTTCCAATATCTAGGGCATCAGCTACTCTTTTAAGCTTTTGACAGGTGGTTGCACTTTGCAGATATCTTGAAAGGGTGCACAGACACATTCTTTTTAGTTGGCCACCTAAAAAGATGTTCTGGAGTTGCTTCTGTCGAAATGTGTTTAGACCCACTATCTCTTCATTGTTCTCTCTGTCTTGCTTCAGTGATTTCAGAGTATCCTGAGCAACTTCCAGATCTTGTTCCTCTGGTAGATCCTTAAACATTGTCTCATACCACTGCTGATGAATTAGTAGCCATAAAATCCAGGTTTGCTTAAGCCTGCCAAATGGAAACAATACAAGGTTCTTGCGCTCAAGACCTCATCCTTGGCTGCATTTTATTTCATCAAACATCAATCTCTGCTTCCGTCTTGAACACATTGGTGGATTCCATACTGTTATTTTAGTGCACAACTGCTGTACCTAATTCCTATATTTTGGGTTCATTATGGCTCCGTTATGTGTTGCCTATGTTATGCTATTCTCACACTACAGTTGCTAAGAGTTAAGCTGTCTTCAGTTCCACACCACAATTTTTGCTTGTAGTTGGGAATACACTTTCGTCTTTATGTTTTTTCCCCTCTTCTCGCAGTCTCTCAAACTGGTATCATAATGTTTTTTATACATGAACTTGATATGTAGTTTCATTACTTTATCTGAGCTCTTGCCTTTTGTATGAGCACCGTGGCCAAAAACTAGAGTCTAAAACTTGCTTTAGGTGATTTATGATCTTTCTGCTTCTTACTTTTGTTTCTCTTGCCACTTAAGACTTTCGGAGCAGTTTATTCTTACCTCTGGTTATGGCAAGTATGTTTTGGACTTTATCCTTACTATTCTATGATCAATGTCCTCTCCCTGTTATCATGACAGATAGGACTACAAGAAGATGGATTTCATGCAGTAAAAGGATTTCCATATCATGTCAGGCCTCCCTCTATCTGAATTCATACCTTGTTAAATTGTATCTATTCTTGATTGTGGCGAACATATTGTCTCTCCTTCGGTCTTTTCAACTGCATTGATCATTGGAAGAGTTTTCTTGTATCTATCTGAGTATGTGATCCGCACTGTCAACAAATAAGATGGCATATAATGATACTAAGAGATGACTTATGCAGCTTCATGAAAATGTTCCTTATTGATGACAGTTTATCTGAGCGAAAATTCCATGTACAGGTTGAAAATAGGGTAAAAGAAGTTCATTTCTTGTTTCAGAAGAGGACAAGGGATCAGCAGAAGTTAATGGCATAAGTAGGGTTAGTGGTTATTTGGTTTTGGTGGGATGGGTTGTTTACCTACAGGTAGTCAGATGGTGAGAAAAGTTGGAATCTTTTGATCGGAAATGTTTCTTTAAGATACTTTGTCATTAAGTTTGTGTTTTGTTGAAGATAAGACCAGCTACGAAAGATGTTGAAATCCTAACAACCGTCCATATTGTATCAGATTTATCTTTCATTAGGAGCATTGCTTAAGTTTATTCTAAGCGTATAAAAACTTCCTTTCAGAATTCATGAACAAACCCATTTGCTTTGTAGAGTTCTCTCAGTCTTGAAGATACTTAAGGCACGTAATTTGTCTACCTAACAACGGTTCAGAACATAATCTCTTTATTAACACTGGGGAATCAATACCTTATTTATTTTCATAGGTGGTGCTTCGAGTTCACAGAGAAAAGTAAGGCATGTTGCTTCTTTTGGTGACAGCTCCGAGGTATTGTATTATAGTGTCATAATAATCAGATACCATTTATACATATGAAGGCTTTTTTGTTTCTCACCGGCATTTCCTCTCACAGGATTCTGGAGATGCCCAAGATGACACAGAAAAAATAAAAGAAAGGAAAAAGGGGAAGAAAAAGAAAAAGAAGGGGAAAAAGGAAAAGAAAAAGAAAAAGGTAAATACATTTTTTTATCTTTTCTTCCGATTTGAACTGTTTTGACCTCCCATCTGTTGCAGAATGCTCAAAGTCCTAAATGCCAGAAGACTGTAAAGATGAAGAGGTCAAAGTCATGAGTAGATGTTAAAAAGTCCAGAGATTTTATTTGACAATTAAAATGAAAAAAAGACAGGATGCAGAGAGCTGTGTAACTGATGTATTCAAGGGCGTTTAGACTGCTAGCAACCTGCGCGTTCTTTTGATTTTCGTGCGGATGACTAACTGCCCGATTTCAACTCATTTGAAATGCAATCGAAGTCTTGATTTCCTTTCATTTGGAAAATGCAAGTCACATTTTTTGTTTGCAAGATAAGACCGAGAAAGATGTTTATGGGGCTGTTTTTTGGAAAGGGGAGAGGATTATGATTTTATTGTCGTGTGAGATGCATGGTTTTGGATGCAAAGTTCACTTCCCATTGTATGATAGTGATGTATAATGCTTAGCAAAACATATAAAAGTCAGGAGATTATTGCCTCTCCATCAGGAAACATTTCAGGTTTTCTATTTTCTCTGCACGCGCCAATCTTTCAGATTTTCTTCATTGATCGTGAACCTACTAGATCCTGCAGAGTGCAAGATATTATTGCGAGCACCCAGGTTGGGTCATCTGTTCTTTCTCTGAACCTCTTAGTTTCACAAAATATCCATGCGTACAGATTGCAGCTCATATCAGCTGCTCGTGCATCCATGTATACAAATTTTTAGTTTCATCTTGAGGTTTTGAAACTTTTGTGTTTGAATTTGCCAAACCCGTTGTTGGGAAAAACAAGAATAAAAACATATCCAAAGTAACACAGAACAAACCATATAGGAATGCAAGTAAAAAGTAGAATGTTAATGAAATCATTTTAAACAAATTTCAAGTATGAGATACTTTACAAAAGTGCGAAATCGCCCTCTAAGGGCCTGTTTGGATAATGGAAGTATTAGAAGTAAGAAGTAGGTTATAGAAGTAACTTTCAAAGCTATGAAGTAGGAAGTAGTGGAAATAGCATTTTTTTGTTTCATATATTTTTAGAAGTAATAAAAGTAGAACTTCTTCCTCTTCATTTACTTTTTTGTTTGGATAACATTTGGAAATATTACTAGGAAGTAATTTTATCAATGAAAAGGTGTTAGAAGTAACTAATAAAGGAAATATTAATAAAAAATTATTTATGTCCTAATTAATATGCATTTCAACTACTTCCGAGTTACTTCTGAGTATTGAGGACTGGAAAAATATTTTGGAAGTAAGGATGACAAGTAGGCGCCACATAAGCATTTAGGGAAGTATTGAAAGTAAGTTTTTTAGAGAACCAAATACACTTTTTTGCTTGGAAGTAGCAGAAGTAGCTTTTACTTCTTTTACTTCAGCTACTTCACAATTACTTCCGTGCAAACAAACAAGCCCTAAACAGAGGACTAGCCTTTAAGAGATTATCTCCCACCTATGGTCGCGTTGGGTCTGCACAATACTTCTAAGGATGAGACGACTGCAGTTCAAAGAAGCGCTCTCTTTTTTGAACACCACAACTATTACTTCAGTTCGTCAGAAACTTCAACACATAACAGTCTATAGAAAAGAAGAAGACGAGAGAACAATTGTTTTTTCTGTCTATATTTTCCAAATGAACAGAGGATGCACTTTTATAAGGTTCATGAGAGACAAATATTTGAATTCTAGTTACTGCAATGTTTTAATGTCTACAATAAATATTATTCAATCCTTGAAACATTGTAACGTACGAAATGTTCAGCTGGTTTAAAAAGAGCACATGCAAAACGTTTAAGCAGCTTTAAAGGCACCCCAAGCAAAAAGAGCACGCACCAGTGCACGCGCCGGACCACGCACCGGACCCCGCTCCCAGACCATGCACCTATACCGCACACCCAGCTCGCTCGCTCGTGCCCGCTCGCTCATGCCCGCTCGCACGTGCTCGCGCGCTCGTGCCCGCTCGCTTATAAACCAACACAAGTGTACAAATACTAACATATTTGTTATACCATATATAACATGTATGTTAATTTGAACCAACTAAAACGCATTCAATTAGCCAATGTGAGACTAAAATTCACATACTACTTATTAAACATATTTTAATTTTCATTTATGGAATCCAACCATATAAATAGTATATTTCCATAAAACCCTCTAATATTCATTTATATCAAACAACCCTCCACAATTCCTATAGCTAAAAGTGAGGAAGAATGTACATATCATGCTTTTGGAGAAGATATCTTCTGATTTGAACCTTCCATACAGTTATCTAATTTTATCACCACATGCACCAAGTGAATCTTTGTCTTGAACTTGAACCTTTGATGTGGTGATATTCATTGGTAACAACACGATATAGGCTATAGTAATAATCTTTAGGTTTGACGCAATATGGCCATGCGTCCTTATCCTTTTCATGAACAATTTCAAGGAATAACCTACTTCCTCTAATTGCAACCACAAATTATGTTCATATAGTTGGGCATCTCCAGAGATGCACTGCTTGCATCTCGTCTTAAAGACTTGATCCCATTTAGAGTCAAGGCACTCTTACTGTACTCGCAATTAACAACACCTTCCAGGTATACATGATGATAGACTCCGATACAAAGTATCAATCTATGATCATGTGTTCAACTCACACAACAGCTTGTTATTACCACATTGAACCTACTTTGTGGGATCTCCACTCAGATAGGTTGGGTTGCTACCATCCATGAGTTAGGTAATGGTTTCAGTCCATCATCAACCCGGATTTAAGAGCTAATGACAACTCAAGTCCTTTAGTAAAGGGATTTGTTGTGTTGTCCTTGGATTTGACAAAGTCCACAGTAATTACCCCTTCATCAACAAACTTTTTCATGGTCTTTATCCGTACTTGGATATGGCCTCGAGTTTTGCGGTTATACTTTGAACTTTTTATCCTTGCAATTGTGGTCATATTGTTACAATTCATAGAGATAGTAGGAATAGGCTTGCTGAACATGGGTAGCTCAGACATAAGTCCTTTAAGCCATTCGACTTCTAAACAAGTAGTGTCCAAAGCGCATAGCTCTGCCTCAAAAGTAGACAGAGACAAAATGGTCTGTTTGATAGATCTCCAGGCGACTGCACCGTCACCCAAGGTAAATACATACTATGTACAACCATTTCTACCTAAACCCATAGCAGTCCAGCTAGCATCACTGTACCCTTCTAGAACGGGAGGGAATCAAACAAAATGCAGCGCAAGGGAAACAGTTCCTTCAGATATCGAAATATTCTATCCAAGGCCTCGGTCCTATTTGGATAACTAGTGTATCTGCTTAATTTAGAAACCGAGTAAAATATATCCGGTCTCATACAATTAGCAAGATAAATCAAGCTTCCAATGATCTGAGAATATCTCAACTGAGATTCAGAGACTCCACTTACATTCTTATAGAGAGTTATTGAAGGATTATATGAAGTTTTGACAGATTTACAATTCTTATAGCCAAATTTCTCAATAATCTTCTCAACATAGTGAGATTGAAAAATAGCTATGCCCTTAGCTGATCTAATTAGTTTTAGGCCAAGAATCACGTCGGTGACTCCCATGTCCTTCATATCAAACTTACTATTCAATGATGACTTAGTCTCATTGATTATCTCAATGTTAGATCCAAACAATAGAATATCATCAACATAAATGCACAGAAGAATACATAAATCACCTCTTACTTTGCTATAAACACACTTATCAGATTCAATCATTTGAAACCAAAATCAATGATAATCGTATCAAACATTTTATGTCATTGTTTAGGAGCTTGTTTAAGTCCGTACAGAGACTTTACAAGTTTACATACTTTTTTATTGCCTGGTGCTACAAATCCCTCAGCCCGATCCATATATATCTCTTCTTTAAGGAAACCATGAAGAAAGGCAGTTTTCGCATCCATATGGTGGATTATGAAATCATATATAGAAGTCTATGCAATAAGCATTTTGATCATAGTCATTTGGGCAACTGGAGAGTATGTATTGAAGAAATCTATTCCTTCAAATTGTTTAAACCCTTTAGCAACAAGTCCGTTCTTAAACTTTTCTAAAGTTCAATCTGGTTTCATTTTCTTTTTAAAAATCTATTTAGACCTAATTGCCTTACACCCAGGAGGAAGATCAACTAATTTTCATGTCCTATTAGAGACAATAGCATCCATTTCACTTTTGACAGCATCCTTCCACTACTTAGCCTCTTTCGAGGTCATAGCAGATCTGTAGGAAATATGATCCTCCTTGATATTGTAAGTGACAAAGTCACTTCCAAAATCCTTGACAATCCTTGCTCTCTTACTCCTTCGAGGTTCATCTAAATCATCTGATTTCTCATATTCAAATTTAGAATTATTTGCTCAACATTTGTCATCCTTTCCACATGATCAGGAATAAAAGTAGAGACAGATACAAGATTTTCATTAGAATTATTTTGAGGCATTCTAGATTTCATAGGGAAACATCCTCAAAAAATACCGCATCACGAAATTCAACATTTGCATTAACATTTATGATTGGGATTTCTAATCTGGTCACTGAGAATCTCAAGGCATAGGTGTTTTCTATATAACCTAAAAAGATAGAGTCTACTATCTTAGGATCTAGCTTTTTCCTCTTGTGTTCTAGGATTATCACTTTTGCAAGGCACCTCTGTTGGGTCCTTTTGTTTTGATGATGATTAACAAATAATTTACAATTAAGTTTGTTTGTCTAGTATTTGTATTTTGTATTTATTCTAGGCAAACAATATATTGGAGGATGGATGGAATCAAGCATTCATGATCAAATCCAATGGAGGTTGACAAAAATTATGGAGTGAAGCAAAACAATTCAAGTTGAAGATCCAAGTTCAAGCTTCATCCGCAAGTGTACCAAGATAGAGCTTAGTTGAAGATCACAAGCTTGTGTATATTTAGTTTAGGTTTTTATATTATGTGTGTTAGTACTTTAAGCTCAAAATTATACACACATACACGTTTTGGTTATATATATATATATATGTCAAATGACAAAAACATGTATGTTTAGTTTTTATGTTTTTGGACATATTTGAAAAATGATGAGTTTTTTCTTTTGAGAAGTGCAATTTCAAAAATTCTTTTTGTAACATGTTCATTTACATGTTTACAACGATTTCCCAAAGTTTTATATTTTTTGAAATTTATTTGCTATCTTTAAAGGCACTTCAAAAATCAGTTTTACTATTTGATTCAGCAGAAAATCTGTTATAACTCGACTGATCAGTTGACTGATGACATTAGTCGACTGATGAGTCGACTGAAGAATGTGCCTGGAATCATCGAAAAGTTTTTGTTTTGTTTTAGTCGACTGATCAGTCGACTGATGAGGTCATTGGTCGACTGACGAGTTCATCAGTCGACTGATGATGTGTTATTGGCCTGTAACGGTTAGCTCATCAGTCGACTGATGAACAGTATCAGTCGACTGACGGCCCAACGGCTAGTTTTTTTTTAGCTTTTCTGTTTTTATCTTTTTGCTGGGTTTTGTTGTTTTCTCTTGGCTTTGGGGTTCCTATAAATACCCCCACATATTCTCAGTTCATAACTAACAAGAGGAAAGTTTTTAAACAAGTTTACAAAGGTTTTAAACAAGTTTACAAAGGTTTAAGTTTTTGTTTAAGTGTGTTTAAAAGTTTGGTCTGTGAAGAAACTTTCACAAGAGCTTGAGAAGATTATCTATTGGTGTTTAAGCATTCAACTCTTCTCCCTCTCTCTTGTTATCTATAGAGAAGTTTTTCTAAACTCTATTTCTAGCTATTTATTGTTTTGTTCATAATTTTCATAAGCTAGATTTATTTGAGTTAGTTTGTTTTATTGAATCTCATTATTACACACACCCACTTGAGCTTATTCTATTTCATACATAGTATATTTGGGATTGGGAGATTATAACTTTGACTTGTGCTTAATTGAGTTCTCACCTTGTTTAGAGAACAATCATTTGATTTGTGAGCCTAATTATGAGTTGCACATTGTATTACACTTGGACACCGAGAGAAGTGGTTGGTGAGAGACGGGGTCGGTTCCAAGAGGAGTGGGGTCGGTAGTAAAGCTTAGTGAGAGGTGGTAATAATTCCGAACACTTGAGGAAGGTGACATGGGCTAGGCCAACACTTAGAGGGTGTGAAGTGTATTAGAGTGCTTAATTGTGAAGTTTACCTTGTATTACACTAGTACACCAAGAGGAGTGTGTGGTGAGAGACGGAGTCGTCCCAAGAGGAGTGGGGTAGGTGGTAATACCTAGAGAGAGGTTGTAATTCCTAACACTTGAGGAAGACACGGGCTAGAAACCAATATTTGAGGTGGTAGTTAGTGTAGTTACATTGTTAGATTGTGGACGTTGATCGGTGAGCGTTGAAAACCGATATTGTGTGGTGTAAACGTTGTTCGGGTGAGCGTAAAAAACCCGGTTATGATAGTGGAGATCTCCTCGAGGTGAGGAGCAGAGACGTAGGTCGTGGGGACCGAACTCCGTGAACATATCGTTTGTTTGTGATTACATTGGCGCACTTATTTTTTATGTTCACATCTTATATCGCCTTTGGATATTGCTTGTTGTTTATATTACCCACTATCTAGTTTAGATTGTTTACCCTTGTGTTACTTGTATATCATTGCACATATATTTTAATATATCATTCTTGCTTGGATATATTTGTTAGTAAGTTTTAATTTAGTATAAATCGGATTAGATTAGCATAAACCCTATTCATCCCCCTCTAGGATTCCTTCCTACTGGCATTAGGGTACTTTCAAGTGGTATCAGAGCACTTTCAACCCCCACACTTTAAAGTATTTCAAGCTTGTCTTTCGACCTCTCCAAAGTTCAAATGAACTACTTTATTTATGTTTCTGAGGGACTCTATTCAGAATATGGCAAGCCATATTCAAAGCCTCTCCCCACATATATTTAGAAAGGTCCAGAACTTTTAAATAGACTATTAATCATATCCTTTAGGGTTCTATTTTTCGTTCTACTACAACATTAGATTGAGAAGAATAAGGAGCAGTTTCCTCGTACACTATGGCAAAAGATTGACATAGAAGAGTAAACCGATTTGAAGTATATTCTCCACCGCTATTAGATCTTAACCTTTTAAGTTCCTTACCAGTTTGAGTTTCAGTTTCATTCTTAAAAATGATAATTTTTTCTTGAGCCTCATCTTTAGTTTTAAGCAAGTAAACAAAACAATATTTTCTATAGTCATTTATAAAGGTGGTAAAATATTTCTTCATGTCTTTGGTCAAAACACCATTAAACTCACAAATTCTAGTATGAACTAAATTAAGCAACTCATAATTTCTATCAACAGAATGAAAGAGTTTCCTTGTTTGTTTAGTTGTTACACATGACATTTTTACTATGATCTAAAGAGTGTTTTGGAATCATATTAAGATTCATCATTCTTTTTATAGAACTAAAATTAACATGACCAAGACGTTTGTGCCAAATATCAGATGATTCAATATTGTTACTAACAAAATAATTAAGAACAAAAATTTTATTTAATTTGGAACTAAAAATAGGTTCTGCTCGAACCTTATATATTCCATCAGAGTCATAGCCCTTAAAAGTAAAAGATTCAGCATGCAACATAACTATTTTATTATATTTAAAAGAAAACTCAAAACCCTCCCTAACTAGACATGAACCACTAATAATATTACGTCGAACAGTAGGAACATGATGTACCCTGTGTAATGATGGAACTCGCCCTGAAGGGAACTTCAGGTCCACTCGTCCATATCCCAACATTTTAGATGCACTTTGGTTCCCCATCTTCACGGTATTTTCATGTGCAAGTTGGTAAGACACAAACAACAATTTATCAGCACAAATATGTACATTTGCACCAGTGTCTACCAACCATTCATTTGGTTCATTAATAGATAGTAACTCAGGGTTTATAGAAACATACCCTTTGGTGGATCCAACAGACCCAGTCATAACCATGTTAACCAGAGGCGCGCTAGTAGACCCTGGATTGGCTTTTAGTTTTCTTTGTAGGACAAGCTTTAGCCCAATGTCCAATTTTTGCACTATTTCAACATGATTTATTTGCTTTTGGATATTTGATTTGGCTTTGATTTTGTCTTCAGGTTTGCCCTTGGGTTTGTTTTCAAACTTTTTCTCAGAAGATAACATTTGCTTTAGCTAGGTGCTCAATAGGCACAACATGTTTATGATTCTTATGCTGGTTATGGCAATCATCAAGCCATCTAGATTAATTTTTTCCTTTTGATGCTTAAGAGACATACCAAATGTCTCCCAAGAAAGAGGAAATTTCTCAGTGATTGCCGTAATTTAAAAATTTTCAAGAAGCTTCATTGCAGCTTCTTGAAGAGCATGAAGAATGAACAAAAGTTCATGTGCTTGTTCTGTTACAGATTTACCATCGACAATTTAAAACTTTAGGAACTTGGACACATAATACTTTTTAAGACAGATGTCCTTAGTATTATATTTTCTGTCCAATTCATCCTATAGTGCCTTTGCAGTGGTCGAAGAAGAATAATAGACATCGGAGAGCACGTTGGACATTGCCAACAAAATGCATCCTCTGGCTATTTAATCCTTCTACGTTCACTATGCAATTTTTTGCACTATTAGGATCCTTTTCATCGAGTTCTGGGCAATCTGTTAGTATCATTGCCAACAGCCCCTTAGTCGGCAGCCAAATCTTCATATGTCGTTGCCAATGTTTGAAAAACTAACCCGGGAACTTTTCTAGCATTCCAGACATATCCATTTTAGGAGCAAAGACACCAGAACCAACTCCTAAAACAGAAGACATAACTCCAAACGATGATAATCTCTTCAAGATTGTTGGAAAAAACAAGAATAAAAACAAATCCAAAGTAACACAGAACAAACCATACAGGAATACAAGTAAAAAAGCAGAATGTTAATGAAATCATTTTAAACAAAATTTAAGTATGTGATACTTTACAGAAGTGCCGAATCGCCCTCTAAACAAAGGACTGACATTGAAAAGATTATGCCCCACCTACTTCAGTTCGCCATAAAGTTCAACACTTAACAGTCTATAGAAAAGAAGAAGACGAGAGGACAATTGTTTTTTCTGTCTGTATTTTCCAAATGAACAGAGGTGGCTCTTTTATAAGGTTTATGAGATACAAATCTTTGAATTCTAGTTATTGTAACGTTTGTAACGTCTGCAATAAATATATTTAATCCTTGTAACGTACGAAATGTTCAGCTGGTTTAAAAAGAGCACATGCAAAACGTTTAAGCAGCTTTAAAGGAACCACAAGCAAAAAGAGTACGTACCAATGCACGCGCCGGACCACGCACTTGCTTGCACGCTCGCTTATAAACCAACATAAGTGTACAATACTAACATCTTTGTTATACTATATACTAGTGTGAATACCGTGCAAAGCACGACATATTTTTTTTCCTGTTACAATAATCCTGGTTTAAACTGCTACAACAACTGTTTGAATTTTTTAAATTGCTATAGTATCCCGACTCTGCTACAATGTTCCCATGTGCTAAAATATTTTTTTTCAAAAAACCACAGCGTCCAGTTTCATGTTTATTACAGTAATATTACTACTGTAGCATTTACCATAGTATATGAATAGTAAACATTGGGTTCTCCCATTTGTATAAAGGAATAGATAACACGTATGTTAATTTGAACCAACTAAAACACATTCAATTAGTCAATGTGAGACTAAAACTCACATACTACTTATTAAACACATTTTAATTTTTATCTATGGAATCCAACCATATAAATGATATCTTTCCATAAAACCCTTTAATATTCATTTATATCAACACCCATATCGTCTGCAATCTCAACTATATGCAACTTATGGGAATTCAACCGCCGTCACCATATCGGGAACAATGTTCCACTGTCATACAACAACAAAGCACGCATTCACACTTTTTTTTACAAGGCATTGCTAAGAGAGAAAATATATTAGGGATCCGATTCACTCTACACCTCTTATGTACCATTACATTGTCAGCTCATTATTATTACACTATAACACATAAATCTCAGATAAAAAGACATTAAGTGTACAATATGGATGCATCTGACATTACCTGAGAGAAAAACACCGATAATGCATGCATTTATGAGGAGACATCAACGAGACGAAGCAGAAAAAGTCCCTTTCTTGAGCAAGTCCTGGAGCGCAACTGGATCAGCCACTGGTGCACTGCAAACAAAATTTTGGCATACATGAGCTACTGTCTTGTCTGCTGGGCTTCCCTCGGCCATCTGAGCAATGTTCTGATTATAGGTTTCCCAGAACCCCATGTCTTCTTTGTTACTAGGATCTATTTGTATCACCTACATATGTATCAAATAATTATGAATCAGGTTTGGAAATGGGAAACTTTCGTTTGCATAATTGAAGAATATATGACAAATCAAACCACCAAATACTTACAGTCCGGTTTAGATCGTAAGAGGCATAAACAGCTGCGACCATATTGTGAAACTCGGTAGAATTTTTATCTCCAACTAATACTACCTGTTTCCTGGAAGGAACAGAGAGCATATCTGTTGCACAGCACATTAGAGGAACCGCAATACTTTGATCTTTCAACCTTTTCTCAAATACTGCCTGCAATATTATATTCCAGATATATAAATAAACACAATATTTCAAAACTTGTTGTCAAACTTGATTTGACATTCCCAAAACAACACCAAATTTGAATCTAGATGACCACTGTTTAGTGAGAGAAGGAAAATCCAGCAATTTATCAAGCATCTTATTTTATTTTTCAATTTTGCAACACAATGACAATGATACTTAATAATTGTCATCCCTTCTAATATGCACATCAATCAACAACTGACCAAACAGTAGTAGTCCAATATGTGATCAATAAATAATTAAATCATGCATTAGCAGAAATAAGAAGGCAGAATAAAGAACATGCGTACAAGAAAATAAAAGAAGAAAGAAAATGAGGTAGAACAAAACAAGAAAAAGCAAAAGAATTTTTTTTGTTACAGAAAAGACTGACACATCTGCAGAAAGAGATTGATGACAAGATCAGCGTTGAAGGTTGTCAGTAGGAAGAGGAGAAAAGACCAAACTGGACTTGGTTGAAGCAATAAAGTTTATATCAAGTGACTATTTACCGAGGAAAAAACTTATGCGCAGTCCAAACCACAATTGATCTAATAATTGCTTATTCCACTAGGAGCTCAATCCTAAGCATGTAGAAAGGATTCAAAAGAACATACCAAAAGATGCACAGCAGTTCGCCTAAAATATTCAGACCTTCCACCTGCAACCATAGATGACAATCTTATCAGATTAACTGCAGAAACTGAGTTCCCCGATGGCTCTGCTCCATCATAATCTTCTTTCACTCGGAGCAGGACAGAAGGGTCTTCTCCAGGAGTATTAAAGTAGCCTCCCCCATCTCTATCCAGAAACAGCTCATCCTGTACAGTGATCATATATATCACACCTTCAAAAAGGTCAGCTTCACTAATACTAATGCAAGGTAACATATATATCACTTGCCTGAGTAGCTTGTAGTTCAATCGCCCAAATCAGCCAGTCCATCCTACCACCATACTCATAAAGATCCAGCAATCCTGAGATGAGAAATGCGTAATCATCTAAAAAGCCAGTCGCTTTTGACGGCCCATTCCGAAAGCTATGACGAAGCCGTTTTGTTTGCACATCATATAATTTATTCTTGATGAACTTTGCTGCCGTTTCTGCAACCTCCAGATATTCACATGACTGCAGGGAGTGGAAACATGAGATAGAACTTATATTCAGAGTACCTGTTTTACAAGAAATACTAAAACATGTCATATGCAATCGAATGATCCAAATACGATGACTATAGAGGGGCATAAAGTATTTGCAAGCAAATCCTCGGTACATTATAGAATAGATGGTTCAGGCTCTGCTGAGAAAAATCCCAAACAGAGGCAAGGACACAATAAATGGCTCAAGGTAACAAGAACAAACTTCAAAGGCACCTCATAGCTAGCAGGAAATATCTTAAATCTAATCTATAAGAAAATCAGATAATAATGACAATCAAGTTCTCGTAATCAAGGATAGAGCACTTCCAACTTGGGAATAGTTAAAACAATATGCACTATGATGACTAGGTTATCATGCATAAAGAGCATTCTATACAAGGGGTTCCAGCAGGATGAGATTTTCTTACAAACAAACATGTGCTTGCGAGTGAGTTTACCTTGGCTTTATTAAATCCTTCACATCAAATTGAGTTTTGCCATTATTTTAATGGTTGTTTCAGTAGCTACTTTGGGAAAGCCCGACTCTTAATTAGTGTCAAAACACCATTACAAAATGACCAAACATTCCAGCATGATCAATGGTTGCCTACACCATGGTAAAATCCATCTTAATTCAAATTGAAGCAACTCCATATTCCTTCCTTAAGAGTTCGAATAAGAAAATTTACAGAAAGCAGGGGAACAACAAATTTCAAAGTAACAAACTATGTTTCAACAACTTTGAGCTCAAAGCAAAACATTAGTTTGTTATCCCTCCCTCCCCATAATAACTTTGAAAGAGCTTGTACCAAAAGAGCCTTCCTCTTTCAAAGTAACTTGAGGTGGGGGCGTCCATGGCATCTATTCACCGTAACTCCTTGACTAATTGAACACCAGCTAATATGAATGATTATAAGGAAGTTCTATAAATGATACAAGATTCTGTTTTGATTTTATGTGTTTTGAAACAAAAAGCCATGACGAAAGGATGATATAACATCCTCAAGGAGATCAAGTTACAATAGAACTGAAATAACATTCATGCTCCTAACTTCTGTGTCAACCGTTAAGGATTCCTTGTGTCAACAAGTGAAAGCCTCAATATAAATTCTAATCTGCCGTAAAAATATAGCCATATCCATTGTTCATAGTTCACAAACTAGGTGACGCTCCAAAAGCAGTTTTTTTCTTATGACCAGTCAAGTCCCTCACAATATAAGTAATTAGAAGTAGATCAATCAGTGGAATGCTATATAAATGTTTACAGAGACAATAGAAACTGGATGTTGAGAATCTTACATCGCACCCAACCACAGGAAAGTAGAATTTGGTTTCATTTGCTTCGGCCTTGAGGATTCGGGAAGCTCTTGCGAAAGAAGATATTGCAAGCCCATTCCATGAGACGATAACCTAGACAAACAATCACTTCCATGTGAACATGTGATGAAAATCATATGGTAAACCTGTGCCCAGCTTGCACCACTAAAAGAAAAAAAATGATAATTTCTTTAATCATAATAGGAATATAAAACTGATACCTTGTCATCCAAGTGTGGCCTTGGTCGACTAGATCGAACATTGAAAAGCTTTTCTCGACATTCACCAAGGATACGAGAGTACTCATCCAGAGGCATGCCAACTTTTGATGCCATTGTTGGTACATCTTTCCTTTCAATAAGCACATTTCCCCCCTTAAATTCATTGTGAGGATCACTCATTCTAGAAAGGTCACAATTTCCGGATGCTTTAACATAATAGTGATCCTTAAACAGGTTAGCATACTCTCCAACAACCTCGTCAATCTTCAAGGGAAAAATTCATGAAAGAGGATTAGAGAATTGACGAATTATATTCAGTCAATTTGATTACAAATCTCAAGACAAGTAATAACTAAACAAGACCTGTATAAAACAGCTGAAAGAAATTCAAATTACATGGTGAAAAGTTTTCAATATTTTTTAGAAAGTGATGCAGAAAATACTAAGAAAAACATTTATATAAGGAAATGAGTCCATTTGATGAAAGGAATGAAGATCTAAATGAACAAAAGCGAAAATGTACTTAAGGTTACGACATCAAGGTAAAAAGCACTGTATACAAGTTCAACAAAATAACATATCATATGATACCTGGGTTGTTATGGTGTTCCTATTTCGCCAAAGCGCAGTTCATTGCCAAGCAACGTGCATGTGTACTTCTACATACAATGCCCCAATCAACTTGGCGGCCCGGCCCAGTGAGGATTCTGACTTAGCCGACTCGTCGAGTCGATATTCCTTCATGTCAACTCGAAAGGCGGTACCAGCCTAAGATGATTAAATCTGTACGTGGAAGGTTAACAACTTTGTTTGATTTAGAGTCAGCAGTAGGATTGTAACCCTAAAGAGGGCAGAAGAAAAATAAATATGTGAGATGTAACAATTTCGAAGGGTGAAATGCAAATAGTTTTTTTAAAGATAGAAAATGAGAACAAATAAAAACAAACAACACACAATGCTTATGTATTAGTTTTCACTGAAATTATGGAGACGCTCAGTAAAACCTTTTCGCAAGAAAAATGTAGAACATTTTCTTTTTTATAGATGATCTTCAAAGAATTTGACATATTTTGCATGTAAAAAAAGGAAAAATGCCAAGTTATACCTTCGGAAATTCTAAACTGAAGATTGAGTGCTTGGTTTCTAAAGATTGAGAACAAATAAAACCCAAAGTAGACAAACAACAATCAAAGTTTTTGTATTAGTTCACTGAAATTAGGAAGACGCTCGCTAAAACCTTTGCGCAAGAAAAATGTGGAACATTCTCTTCTTTATATCTAATCTTTAAACAATTTGTCATGTACAAAAAGGAAAAATACCAATATATACCTTTCAGAAATTCTCAAGTGAAGATTGAGTGGTACAAACAAGCAAGCTGCCAAGTCTCAATTTCGTAGTTAAAATTTAAGAACAAATAAGTATATCATGAGTAGAAGGTAGGCAAAAAAGATGTTCACTCATATTAATAGCTAATTCTATATTGTTTGACACTTCGCTCTCTCTCTCTCTCGCATATATGAAGATTGAATATCCAATAATTGTAGAAAAAATTCTGAGTTAGTGGAAATCAAAGAAATGCAAGTAATATGCTCCGAGTTTAAACAAAGAAATTTTTCATACCCTTGGAATACGCTCCATATCCAATGACTTAAACTGGCTCCTGAATTGCTGAGCCTCGTTGTAATATCTAGACATGTTCTCGTTCCTGGTTTGCCAGTGCCCTTGCACCTATATTAGAAGTGAGTTTATTACTAAGGGAAAGTGCGCACATATGAAATGAACAACACAAAGGTGAGCCAACTAAACATTTTATACTGCATAATCCAAAAATAAATCAAAAAAGAAATTAATTAATTGTTTGAAATTACAAAATTTATGATGTCGTTAATTTTACTACTCCAATAGAGCAATGGCCAAAAAAATTTAACATTGATAAATTTCAAAAAAATTTGGATAGCCAACTATTCGCTTATCCCTCTTTTAATTTAGGACCACAAAAAATAAACCTTCTAACATTAATTTTAAATTTTCAAAAAATAGAAAATTCAGATACCTGATTGTGGACAAGTTGGGAATCACCCTAACACGTATCTGATTATAACCCATAACAAATGCAGTCTTATATCTTTCCTTTCAATAAGCACATTTTTCCCCTTAAATTCATTGTGAAGATCACTCATTCTAGAAAGGTCACAATTTCAGGATGCTTTAACATAATAGTGATCCTTAAACAGGTTAGCATACTCTCCAACAACCTCGTCAATCTTCAAGGGAAAAATTCATGAAAGAGGATTAGAGAATTGACGAATTATATTCAGTCAATTTGATTACAAATCTCAAGACAAGTAATAACTAAACAAGACCTGTATAAAACAGCTGAAAGAAATTCAAATTACATGGTGAAAAGTTTTCAATATTTTTTAGAAAGTGATGCAGAAAATACTAAGAAAAACATTTATATAAGGAAATGAGTCCATTTGATGAAAGGAATGAAGATCTAAATGAACAAAAGCGAAAATGTACTTAAGGTTACGACATCAAGGTAAAAAGCACTGTATACAAGTTCAACAAAATAACATATCATATGATACCTGGGTTGTTATGGTGTTCCTATTTCGCCAAAGCGCAGTTCATTGCCAAGCAACGTGCATGTGTACTTCTACATACAATGCCCCAATCAACTTGGCGGCCCGGCCCAGTGAGGATTCTGACTTAGCCGACTCGTCGAGTCGATATTCCTTCATGTCAACTCGGTACCAGCCAATCCTCTTGTCGAAGATGACTCCCAGGAGTCCACTCGACCATTTGTTCAACGTCTCACGAGGACGACTCGATAAGCGTTACTTCTCGACGAAGTTAAAGGACAACTTCTGCCTCAAGCCTCTCTCACTGGCAACGTGTCAGCATCGCATTTAATACATGATAGGCGCGTCATGCCTCTAGCCCCGATAGCCTTCATAACTCATCGGACCACGTGGGGCATTGCCATGCCACCATTCACTTCTCGTTTCTCGTTTAATGTTGAAGTGATTATTCCTCCAGTCACCAGCGGACACCTGTAAAGCAGGTGCTGACACAGCCGCCAGCCCACACTTCACCACCGCCTCTTAATGCTCAGCCGAAGTGACCAATCTACCCTTATATCTTTTGGTATAAATAGAGGTACTATTTTAACCTGGGTTGGATCTTTTTCAAAAAGATCCAGCCCAGGTTAAAATAGTACCTCTATTTATACCAAAAGATGTAAAGGTAGATTGGTCACTTCGCCACCGCCTCTCAATGCTCAGCCGAAGTGACCATACCCTTACATCTTTTGGTATAAATAGAGGTACTATTTTAACTTAGGCTGGATCTTTTTGGATCTTCTTTTGGATCTAATTTGATATTCAGTTTTTTCTGCAAATCATACTGCACACGCAGAAGAACTCTCACAATTCTTATTTACTCCACTTAAGTTCACCATCTAACTTGATCGTCGGAGGTACAACAAAAGAACCAAACGCCGTCCTTTCACAAATTTCTACACGTGCAGATTTTTCAGACACCCAACTCAATAACCGGATATAAAGTCGGGGAAGAAAGCGACACTTCATTAATCCTCAACAAACTCATCCAAACACGGATACATTACTGACTGTGTGATCACCTAACATCAACATGGGTACTTCTACAAGAGCTATGAAATAACTATCACTTCTCAAAATGATTTTTCCCGTATAGAGTACTTTCTCCGAACCTCCTTGCATATTTTTTCTTAGTAGCAAAATAATGTTAATATGAGTTCTATGTCTGTTATCACGTGGTGGCTGTATGAACAAAAACGCATGGTGTATGTATACATAAAACCTGTCACATTATAGCACCTCTGTACCAGAAAATTGGAGGGATTATCCATGTCGAGGAAGATATTTATGTGTACAGTCCCTGGAAATACAAATAAATAAACCTTTGTGCAACTAAAGAAAAGTATATTGAATACATTTTCCTTGCAACGAAAGGATAACTGTTTTAGAAACTATTTCCACTTAATTGTCTTTGATTAACAACTGGACATACCGAGTGACAAGGTACTAGAGGTATGGAACAGTAAGTAAATAATAGAGACAAGGAGAAGCACGGTACAGGGATTTATTTGGTAATAACACATCACAGCTGGCCTCACACTGAATATAAGTCACATTGCTGAGACGAAAACACCTCAGCAAGGAGTGTTCTAAATGTTAGACATCAGGGCCATGGTAGATTGGAAAACTCCATACTATATACATACACTATGGCCTATATTCATATAGAACAAGACAGACATATTCATAATGTATCATTCAACTATAAGTTAGATATGAAAAAAGGAGGATGCTGCAGCTTGCCCAGTCGATCTTTAATAGCAACATATCTAATTCAGAATGAATCAAATTTCATCTTAAGCACTGTACCATGATACAAGGATTATGTATATAGATAACCTACAAATTGTTAGGCTGACCTCTTTGCTCGTCCAAACGTAAAATGCACCTTCTTTCTTTCTTGAAGCACCTTCGTGTTCAGCACTATCAGCATCTTCCGCAGAATATATTTCACCCTCTGCTCCAATCATCTCTCTCCTTAAATAATCAAGAATATCACGTGCCACTGATGAATAAAAGATGTCTTTGGTGATTGAAAATGTATCCAAATAAGCATTAACAAGCTGCCCTTGGTCATACAACATCTTTTCAAAATGCGGGACTGCAAGGAGGGAGCAGTCATCAGCAACAAATGGAATTTATTACAACAGAAATTGTGTGCAATGCACTAAACACAAACAAAGCTAAAGAAATAGCGGGAAGGGCCGATTCAACATATGTTGCTATTACAGGATAATCACATATCATCAATCAGATATTAACAACTGTTAACCACCTATGTCCTCAAACCTTGTGCACACTCACATTGAAGCAAATAGGAGGACTAAATTCTTAAAACCATGTACTGCGATATGCTGGTTTTTCTGAAAGCAATCACCAAATGAGAAAAATTATGAGTTGCTCATTGAAGAGACTGAAAAGTAGATGTGCAAGGAGATATCACTATTTAGTGTTCATGGTCACATGAAAACTACAACCATCTCAACTTGATTCCATTACACTCTGCTTAGTTCCACACTACTTGAAGGACCTTTTTCCTTACTTTTTTTATTAACAGAGATTGGAGGGATTTGAAGCCTAGCGATTACAGTGTTACTACCTTAAATTTTAGATGCACTTTGATTATGATTGCAAACTCCTTTCAAAAGATTGCCACTTGACATATAGAGCTGCAGATACATGAACCATGCACACGCATCCCCATACAAAACTGCACACAACGCAACTTTTACCAAATAAGGAAATTACCTGGTCTGGCCAAATTGTGTCCTTACATTGCGTTCTTGTGTTGGCATTCACACGTGTATGCATGGGCATGGGTGTGGGTTGGGAGGGGCATACAAATATGCAAAAGTCATGCATGGGATGCCACCATTACATATTGTGAAAAATTCCAAAAGGTGAAGCATAAATATCTACAAAGGAAGTTCTCGTCAAACTAACCAGCGAAATTAATACTAATAAAAAGACAGTTAATATAGATCCAATAGGGCTAAACCTCTGATCATGAATGGAATCTACATTGGACCAACGGCGTTAATTGTTGATCTGAATTTGGCTGTTTTATGAGTCCACTGCCCTTCAGTATTGATTAGTCTCTTGTGAACTTTAAGCAACTTGGAAAGGCCTTGCCGATATTTAATTATAACACTTTCTAGTGAACAGAAATGACAAATTTCATGAGAAAACATAGCCAGTAAGCTTCAAAGAAAAGGCTATTGTGGTATCATGAAGAGTATGAGCATTCTAATGCCAACAATAAATAGGAATACTTTAAGTATCTTTTATTTTAAATTCTAGAGACGATTTTGGTTCCAGAGTCTTGTGTGCTCTTAGAATAACAATGAAACTAAAGAGAAAATTCTATGGGACGGTTATAAGACCAACTATGCTTTATGGGTCAAAGTGTTGGTCTATTAAAAAATAACATGTTCAAAAAAATGAGTGTAGCAGAAATGAGAATGTTATGATGTTTTTGTGGGTTTACACTAAAAGATAGGATAAGAAATGAGTGCATTCGTAGTAAATTAGAGGTTACTCCTATTGAGGATAAAACGAGAGAGAATAGATTAAGATGGTTTGGTCGTGAACAACAGAAATCACTTAGTGCACCGGTTAGGGAAAGTGATAATATTGTAGTTAATGGGGCTAGGAGATCTAGAGGCAGACCTAAAACGGCTTGGTTAGAAGCAATTAAGAAGAATATAATTATGACTAACTTAACGGAGGAGATGACTCATTACATAATGGAATGGAAGAATAGGATTCATATAGCCAACACCAAACATTTGGGATAAAGGGGTGGTGGTGGTGGTTGTTGTAGAGACGATTTTGGTATGAGTAAATGTAGAATAGTGGTTCATAATATGAATTGTCATGAACTTTCAGGTAGCATACTCTCCGGTTTCTGGAGGACGTACATTATTTTCTACCATTCTAGAAGCTACCTTTCTAATGTGTCTTGCTTACTATCAACTTTAAACTGTAAAGCAACGGATGAAAACTAGTTTTTATTTTCTTTTTCAATTTTACTTCCACTGATCTCCGTTTGGAGGTCTCATACACGTTGATATTAAAACAAAACTCATCTCAGTCCTATATTAGATGAAAGCAGAGCTAACGCTGGTTAGACTTATGATTGGAAAGTTTTCTCAAGATATAATTCACCTCTAACATATTGTCTCATACATAATGTTGTGGACGAGAAAACTGAACAGGGAAGCGTTCTCTGTTACTCACTTAAAATAAAACAATAATGTGTTACTCGCTACAAGTAAACCAGGCAAACTCTAATTAGCTTGCAGGATCATGATTGGAGGGCTTTCCTCTAGATCGAATTAACCTTTTAACACTTTACTAGTTATAGATAATGTTATGAAAGAGAAAAAGAGAAAGACCATGAATAGCATAACCATCAACAACTGCAGTCTGCAGGTAAAAAGTGAACACGTCACTTTAATTTCATAGGAAAAAAAAGTTCATACAGGTAAATGTTATGTTCATGTGCAGTAAGTTTTCGATTTAAGCTGAAATAAGACAGAAGGGAATGCTAATACTCACCATGCCAGCACTCATCAACGCTGTATCTATGAAAGCCACCACCAATGTGGTCATGAACTCCACCTCTCGCCATGCATTGCAAACTATGACAAACCATCTTCAAATGTCTATTAGCTTCGGTCTCCTTACCATCTTCAGTCAGCCTCTTCAACTGATAAAGCATAAGGTAGATTTCAACAGGTCTGGGAAATTTTGGAGCAGAGGAGAATCCACCAAACTTTGGATCATAACTATTTGACAGCTGAAGACATATTTATTTAGAATAAAGAAAGTGCCGAAAGGAGGTTGAATCTACTAAGATAGACTAGAAATAAAATTAATAATTATTTAGAATAAAGAAAGTGCCGAAAGGAGGTTGAATCTACTAAGATAGACTAGAAATAAAATTAATAAGAAAACGAAGCAGAAAATAAATCTACTAAGATAGACTAGAAATAAAATTAATAAGAAAACGAAGCAGAAAATAAAAATAATTCTAAGCTATATTTTATAAGCAAGCACAATGATAAATTAGAATAAGACCCATAGCATACTGAGGCTCAACTTCATATGAAATGGGATGCCAAGAAAACAGGGTAGAACCAACAGCTTGCCTAAGCCAAGGAATAATCAGAAGAGAAGTAAAATACATCCTATTCTTCATGCTGTGGAGCCTGGGGTTCTAGACAACTCATATCTACTACCACCATACATAAATAAACATTCACATTGGTTCAGGACTAGTTTCTTTTCTTGTCTCCTTGGACCATCAATTACTCAAACATGCATTTATTATTATCGTATAGTAATAGTACTTTGTAGCAGCAGTATCGTTATTTGACCAGACTGAATACTGAAGTTTTTTTTTAACAACAATTTACTAAAAGAATTCACATTTCACTATAATTGTACAGGAAAGTAAGAGTATGCACATAGTTGAGATGCTACAGCTACTAATAAAAGACAATTGTCTTTCCAACATCTAAAACCAGATATGGAAGATAGTTCTATAACAAAGTTTCTCTCTCAACAAGCATCAGTTCCTGATGTAAGAAAATAATAAACATGTCAATAGATTGATATAAAACTTTCATTATGCCTACTTTGGACACTTTCAAGTAATACATATTAAAAAATCATTATCAATATTAGAACGAATATCCTGATCCATGGCGGGTGTCTAGATACATGATTTCTCATTTGGATATTTTTCAATGTATGAAGGCCAGATGGTGATGAAGCTCCAAACAGAGAGATTGAGATGGAACAGCACCTGAAATCCAATGAGCGGCGACTAAACAAAATGCTACAACGAACAGTTTCAACAGCAGACCATTTATTCAAATAATTCCACTGTTCGGCTGATTCAGTAATGCACAAAAAATTCCTGTGGGGACTAATCCCATTTACCCTCCTATGTATAATTGTATGTGTTGACATATGAGTAATATGTAGGGACTTATTTGTAAGTTGTATTTTGTAGGGGCCTATATAAGCCCAAGAGATTTCATAATAAGAATTAGGGTTTTCATATTCAATTTGGTATCACAGCCTCCACCAAACCCTAGCCGCCGCCCACCCCCACCCCACCCTTCACCGCTGGCCCCGCCCTTCTGGTCGCCCTCCCCACCCAGCCGGAAACCCCCCCCCACACCACCACCACCACCACGCTTCGATCAACCCAAGCTCCCCCTTCTCGCTGGCCACAAGACCCCACAACTCGGATCAACCCCCCCCCCTCGCTGCCACCCACCGGAACCCTCCCTCACTCCCACCGGAACCCCCACACTTCCGGATCAGCCCCCCACACACCTTCCGGTATCAGCCCCCCCCTAACCGCCCCTTAGCCAGGCTTCCCTCACCACCCTTGCGCCCCCCCTAACACAGCAGACAGTGCCCCCGCCCCCCCGCAACCCCCCCCCACACCCCTCACTCGCTGCCCCCCCACCGGCCCATACCCCCTCCCACCCGCCCTGATACGCCTCAACATCTCAGTCATAGAGCTGATGAGAGGAGTTTGTTCGATTCCCTCGACATTTTAGTCCCCGAACTGATGAGAGGAAGAGTGTATATCTCAAGGAGATGAGATATATCACTTTCGAATCTTGTTTCCTCTGAGAAACAAGAATTTTGTTGAGATCTTACTCTTGTTGTGCAGCAGAAGTGCTGCCGAAATTTTCACTGCGCACAACAAGGGTTTGAAGAAGCAGGTGAACAGGTGTTGGGTCTGAAGCCTGATCGATGGAGGAGATCATCAAGAAGTTGAACCCTGCGGAGGTGTCAACTTTGATGAAGCTGATGAAGTTGTTGGCTGGTGAGAGCGCGACAAAACCATCGAAGAAATTGGAGCTTCCGACCATCGATCTGAAGCTTGATGGACCGAGTACTTACCTGAGCTGGTCGCGACGGGTGAGATACACCCTTGCAGGGAGGAACCTGGAGGGTTACTTGACAGGAGAGGTGACAGAGCCGGAGCAGATGAGGACTCGGAGGGACGAGATGAGTGGAAGTCCACTCATATGTTGGTATACATCTGGCTCCTCAACTCGTTGGTCCAGTCGATCGCCGCCACAGTGGATGACATTGAGAAGGTGAAGGACGTCTGGAAAAAGTTAAAGAGGACCTATGATGGAGTGCGGAATAACCTGAGGGTGTTCCAGATTAAGGGAGAGATCGACGCCACAGTCCAGGAAGATAGGACTGTACAGGAGTATGCCACAGAGCTGGAGCGGCTGTGGCTAGATTATGATCACTTCTCACCTCGGGCGAGCTGCAAGGACCCGGGATGTAAAGAACGGGAGGCCTTTCTACAGGAGAGGACTATGATGTTTCTCAAAGGATTGACATCAGAGTTCGCTCAGCGAATTGTATTATTGCTAACTCAGCCGAAGATTCCCACGTTTGAGGAGGCTATCTCTGCTATGATCCAGGAGGAGGCTCGCATTCGGCTGCAGGCGGGGACAGGTGGACTTCCTGTGGTGAAGTCAGCACTGGCAGCCTCTAGCAACACTGAATTCAGAGGAGAGACTCGACAGTGCTACAACTGCGGTGCAGTGGGTCATCTAAGACATGCTTGCACCAAGCTACCCAAGGAAGGAGATTCGGGTGGACATGGACAGTTCGGAGGTCGTGGTCGTGGCCATGGGGGTCGACGAGGTGGAAGAGGAGCAGGAAGCTGGGCGAATCTGATGATAGCAGAGGGAGAAGAAGAAGCTGAGGTGGTCTTTACTGAGGAGGATCATGCTCTCCTGGCGATATTTAGGAGGAAGCAGAAAGCAGCAGGGGATGGAGACTTGAGGAGTGGGACTGAGGAGGCATCCACTTCGTTCTTCGCTAGAGGCAACACTGCTACCTATGCTCATCCGACCAAAGGTACTGATGACATACATGCTCTTGCTTCTATGTCTCCCAACAGATCATCAGAATGGATAGTCGACTCCGGTGCGTCTCGACATGTGACAGGTAATGCTAGTGAGTTCTCATCATATACTCACCTAGCATCGCCTGATAGTATTCAAACAGCTGATGGTATATTTCATCCGGTGGTTGGTAAGGGTACAGTCGATTGTACTGAATCTGTAACTTTGTCCAATGTTTTGCATGCTCCTTTTTTTCGGTCAATCTTTTTTCCATTAGTGCTATCATCCTCCAACTAAAATGTATTGTTTCTTTTGATATTCCTAAGGTGATTTTCTAGGAGAAGGGGTCAGGACGGAGACTTGGGACTAGCACATGACGTAGTGGACTGTGATATCTGGATCGTGAAGAGCTGGATTCAGCGTTAGTGTCAATCGTAGAGAAATCAGGAGTAGGATTTAAAATGAGTGCTGAGAGTGAGTTAATGCTTCATCACCAGCGTCTAGGACACTCATCCTTTAGTGTTTTAAGTAGATTGTATCCATCTTTATTTGAGAAAGCAAATAAACAGAAACTTGTGTGTGATGTATCATGTATGTGAGTTTGGAAAGCTTACTAGAAGCTCTTATGTTAGTTCTGATCATAGAAGTTCTCATGCATTTGACTTGGTACATTCAGATGTTTGGGGGCCTTGCTCCATAAGTTCTATGAATGGATACAGGTATTTTGTTACCTTTATTGATTGTTTCTCACGTGTTACTTGGTTATACCTGATGAAAAATAAGAGTGAAATGTTTGGTTGCTTCCAAAACTTTCATAGGAATGTTCAGACTCAATACGGAGCAGTGGTGAAGGTATTGAGGTCGGATAATGGGACAGAGTATACCAACAGAATGCTTGAAGAATATTTATCAGCTCAGGGAATACAGCACCAGATAACATGTCCATACACACCAGCTCAGAATGGGGTAGCGAAAAGGAAGAACAGACATCTTTTAGAGATTGCTAGAAGCATGATGATCTCTATGAATATCCCAGAAACATTATGGGGACAAGCAGTATTGACCGTAGCAGCGCTGATCAACAGAATACCCTCGAGAGTACTGGATTGGAAGTCTCCGTGTGAGACATTAAAGGGAGATAATGGTGGGATTCTTTCACTTAAAGTGTTTGGCTGTGTGCTTTGTGAAGGACAACATGCCATCCGTCGGGAAGCTTGCCCCTAGAGCTGTGAAGTACGTCTTTGTGGGATATTCTGCTACTCAGAAGGGATATATTTGCTGGAGCCCGGTGGAGAAAAGGTTATTTGTGAGCATGGATGTGCACTTTCGAGAACTCGAGCCATATTACATTCGGAATGTAACTTCATCCATTGGTAACTCGCCCAATACTAGAAGTATGAGGCGAGAGGAGGAGAATGGTGAGAGATCGGTAAACAATGTAGAGAAATCGGAGAAATCAGTTTCTGTATCGATTCCTTGGGAGGGAGAATTGGTTGAGGAGAAGCAGGAGAATGAAGAAGAAAAGAAAAATAAGACGAGGTGTTAGGCCCACGGTTCAGGGGGAGCTACTAACCTATAGTAGGAAGGGGAAGCAAATTACAGGAACAGTACCTACAGTGCCACTAGTGCTGCCCAGTCTCTTGCCAATGCCTGTCCCGACTCCTGAGACACCGACACCACCATCAGATTCATCCTAAGGTGATAACATTCCTCTCCTTACTCCTCCCACACCAATATCAGTACGGAGGACTACTCGTAGTAATACGGGAAATCCTCCCGATAGATATGGATGGGATCTTGCCCAGTTTGTATCATATTCTAATATTCATCCTGCACATGAAGCATTCATTGGACTCTGTTACTGTACCTAACAATTGACAGGATGCTAAGAAAGACCCAAAATGAAAAACGGCGATGCACGAAGAGCTAGGGACCCTTGAGAAGAACCGTACTTGGGAGTTAGTAAAACTACCAAAAGGGAAGAGAACAGTTGGATGCAAGTGGGTCTTCACTGTGAAGCAAAATCCAGACGGACAGGTTGAGCGTTACAAAGCTCGTTTGGTGGTAAAAGGATATAGTCAGACATATGGGATCGACTATGATGAGACTTTTATACCGGTGGCAAAGATAAGCACTGTTCGGACCTTGATCTCTCTGGCAGTAAATGATGGATGGAAGCTACACCAATTAGATGTGAAGAATGCATTTCTTCATGGAGATCTGGTGAAAGAGGTATACATGAAATTTTCGTCAGGATTCAACACAGATCAGACAGTGGGCAAGGTCTGCAGATTAAAGAAGTCTCTTTATGGGTTGAAGCAGTCTCCTCGCGCTTGGTTCGACAGATTCAGGAGAGGCTGGAGAGCTATGCTAGGTATGAGGTACCAGCAGATTAACGCCGATCATATCGTGTTCTTTCGACGAAATAAAGGTCACATCACCATGCTTGCGGTATATATGGATGATATGATTATTACAGGGGATGATGAGAAGAAGATTGCCCAACTCAAAGTGAGACTGGGTAAGGAATTCGAGGTGAAAGATCTTGGATTGCTTCGATACTTTCTTGGAATAGAGATAGCTCGAGGAGCGGAGGGGGTTGTCCTATCGCAGAGAAAGTATGCATTGGATCTTCTCAAAGAGACAGTGATGTTAGGGTGTAAACCTGCAACTACACCGATCGACCAGAAGTTCAAGCTGGGTGCTGAAGCTGGAGAACCAGTTGATCGTGACAGATACCAAAGACTGGTGGGTAGGTTGATCTATCCGAGTCACACACGTCCCGATATCTCTTTTGTAGTGAGCGTGATGAGCCGCTACATGCATGATCCGAGGAAGGGTCATATGGACGCTGTGTACCAGTTTCTGAGATATTTGAAGAGTGCCCCGAGAAAAGGGCTGATATTCAGAAAGAATGAACATGTGAGTATTGAGGGTTACTGCGACTCTGATTGGGCTAGCTGTGCTGACTGCTGATGACAGGAGGTCCACCTCAAGATACTACATCTTTATAGGAGGTAACTTAGTCTCGTGGAAGAGCAAGAAACAGTCTATGGTGGCGAGATCGACAGCTGAGACAGAGTATAGAGCTATGGCCTTAGGAGTTGCAGAGTTGTTATGATTGAAGAGCATGCTGGTGGAGCTGAAGCTGGATCAAGGAGCTAAGATGAAGTTGTGGTGTGATAACAAGTCAGCTATCAGTATCGTCAATAACCCAGTGTAGCATGATAGAACCAAACACATCGAGATCGATAGGTTCTTCATCAAAGAGAAGTTGGATAGTGGACTACTGGAGCTAAGTCATGTTTCAACTAAGGACTAGGCAGCAGATTGTCTGACTAAGGGACTTAGCTCATTAGATATGATTAGAGGATGTGACAAGATGGGCTTAGTGGATATCTTTCGCCCATCTTGAGGAGGAGTGTTGACATATGAGTAATATGTAGGGACTTATTTGTAAGTTGTATTTTGTAAGGACCTATATAAGCCCAAGAGATTTCATAATAAGAATTAGGGTTTTCATATTCAATTGTATGTGCATTATAGATGCGAGGGCAAGGATAGAGAAGGCCACTATGGCAACCTTCCCTAGACAACCCTGGCATGTGAAAAGTTCCTTTCATGTGTGCCTCTCTGTCTTTGAATCAAAAGTCGTCATAGCGATGGCAACAGATAATGCAAGGGCGGGTCAAGGGCCATAACCTTATATTTACCCAGAATACTAATTTATTACACCTTCACGAATAGTAGTTTAAAGAGCTTCAGACTACTCTGTTAAGGTAAGCAAGTGAAAAAACTCAAATTTCCCCTATAATAAATTTACTATAAATTATAAAGGAAAAAGTAATCCTTGTGGCTAACTAAAAGTTAGTATTGAACAAAGAAAATGATATAAATTCAATGTAAAACATAAACAGTTGAAGGTAATCGCAACTATCATACATGTAGATGAGTACCATAGTAACTAGAAGTAGCACAATAATGTGTAACAGAGCTATATTTGCTAGCAGTAATATATATATATATATATATATATATATATATATATTTATATAATATATAGGAAGAGTAGACGCAATGCTTTTTTAGCTTAAACAGTTAAAGTGTTAAACATATGGTGGAATTATGAATATCGTAAAGAGCTAGTACAGTTCTTTCTGGATTTTGGCAAAAGAGATTATCATATGTGACACCATGCCTTCAAATTTTCTCCAGGAAAGTTATAACTTTAAAAAAAGTATTGAAGCAACAGATATATTATTCAAGAGATTGTGCTTATTCAAGAGGTGCTGTTTATTTGGCTCTCACCTGTTCAGCACATAGCCTCAGTGAAATTTGTGACATCTGGTCTGATAACCCACGAGCTTCAACTTTCGATGAAAGTGCTTCGGATAGTTGTTCAATTGCGAGGGTACCACTCTTCTCAAGCATCTCTCGATTAGTTTCCCAAGCTTCTTTGACCCTCCTGAAACAAACACATGAAAGGAAATATTCAGTGGTCTATTCTCCAGGTGAGACATATTTACAGAATGGAGAGAAATTATTTTTGCACCTGAGAACTGTTTTAAATCCAGGACGTCCATATTTGTCATCAGGGGGGAAGTATGTGCCACCCATCAAGGGCTTAAGATTCGGAGAAAGAAATACACTTAAAGGCCAACCACCACCACCATATAATGCTTGCACATATGTCATATACACCTACAAAAGAAAGAACACAGAAGACAAAATTTGAAAGAAATAAACTACAATTGTGTGTTCCAAATATAGTGTCCTAGGACCTCTGGTTTTCTTACATGTTACACTCTTTTTTTCCTTCCAAATTTCTTCTCCCACAAGATATACCCCAGTGCTTAATTTGCACGTAAAATGACATGGTCAAGTAGCCCACCAACTAGGGCTTAATGGATGGTTCTCCCTTGTTCATAGTTGCATTACCAGGTCCTTCAAAGCAAGCCAGATAGGACTGTTGGCCCTTTGGTTTTAATGATGATTTGTCAAACAATTTATAACTAATCTATTTTCTAGTTTTTGTTGTTTGGTTTTTCTCTTTACAGGTAATTCAACACACGGCAATCAAGAGTTAAAGATTCAAGTTCATGTGTGTGCATTCACCTAGGTATAAGTTTAGTTTGCTTACATATATCGTATGATTATATTTAAGCTCAATATGTAAACACAACACAAATTTGACGTTTTCTATCATATAAATGTTTTTTCATTAAACATTGTTACAATAGCTCTTATTTCATGTTTACAGCTCTTTAATATTTCATAATATATATAATGTATGCATAATATATATATATACGAGCATACAAGTCATATCTCAATTTTCATGTTTGCGAAAAACAGGTTTTATGAACACTTTTCAAAAACAGTGAGTTTTCTCAAACGAAAATTGCATTTCCTCGATCGTGGCTCATCCAGAGACTTTCGTGATCGACCGTCGCGGTTGACCGCCAGTTTTTAAATTTCTTTCTCAGTCTTTTTGTGCTTCGTGGTCGACCGCCAGTTTCTCACGGTCGACTGCCGAACTCATAATTGCTTTCCAACGACTATTTTCTGATTTGATTTTTTAGGACTGTTTTGGTCTTTTAGGTTTGTTTTGGCTGATATTTTGAGTGGGTATAAATACCCCATTGCCTTCCTCTTTCAACAACCCAAGGAGTTTGTTTTACAAAAGATTAAGAGTTGTTTAAGAGCTGTTAAGCTGATTTCGTGAGTCTGTTTCAAAAGAAGTTTCCTACAACAAGAAGAAGTTTTCAATTCCATCATCTACTGTTCTTCTTGTCTATTGAGAAGTTTTCCTAACTCATTTTACATATAGCTTATTATTTTATTTTCTTATCTTAGCTATATTTATTGAGTTGTATATTTTCTATTCACTGATATCACACACACTGTATTGAGCTTATAATATTTCCATACTATATATTGCTGGGTGGCGGTGTGTGATTTAGTGAGAGTGAGCTTCATTACGTTCTCATTTGTTATCGAGAACAAACCATTGTATTTAACCTTTATTGTGAGTATCACTTGTAATACACTTGTACACCGAGAGAAGTGTGAGGCGTGAGACGGGGTCGAATCTAATAGGAGTGGCGTCGGTTGACGAACCTAAAAAGAGGTTGCATCCGAGCACTTGAGGAGGAGGACACGGGCTAGGTTCCTACACTTAGTGTGTAAAGTGTGATTGCATAGTGTTTGTTGTGTGAAAGTTTTCAGTAAACTTGTAAACCGAATGTGTAGAAGTTCCGGCTTCCAAACCTGATTGTGATAGTGGAGATCTCCTCGAGGTGAGGAGCGGGGACGTAGGTCGTGGTGACCGAACCTCGTAAACATATCGTTTGTTTGTGTCTTGTTTAGCGTACATTTTATTCGTGCTTTTCATATCATTCTTGTTTATATCCATCTCATATAGTTCTTGCAAGAACAATTTAATCAATATAATTTTAATTGGCATTTAATCGGGATTAGATTAGCATAAGACCCTAATCACCCCCTTAGGGTCTAACAAGGACCAAAAAAGACTGTTGCTTCTCTTCATTGCAAATTCTCTAGGTCACAGCATCCACGGTGAACCTCAAGTCACTATATTTAGCAGGGTCTTAGCAGTTCTCAACATTTATGAATATGCTCGGAGTAATGAGAGCCACAACAAAAATCTGCCATCCCCTACTGCTCAATTTCGCTTAAAGTATTTAACTACTAACTATCATCTCATTTCTTTCACATTTTCATTTTCATTGACAGGTACTTAAGTTTCATCTTTAACTGTGCTTCTGGCAGAACGCTCACAGTTTTTTTTTTTACTTGAAAGTCTTGAGCAGCTCTCGTAGGTATCATCTTGGTTCCCTTTCCCCCCACTCTTATTTTCTGTTCTTCCTAACTTTCTTGCAGTGGTATTCTGATGCTTGAATTGCCCTAGAGGCAGAACAAACAGCAGAATCAGAGGAGCATCCTTATTTCCTATAACTTCCTATATTCCTTGGTTTTTATCCTTTCTTTTCATTTTGATTGAAGTGAAGCTACAAAATATGAATCATCCATCGGTGCACATAGAACATTCATAAGAGAACACTCCTGGATGAAGGAACTGACAGCTGGCAAAAAGTAAATATCGAGAACAACCAAACAAGTGCACTTTGAAAAAGAGTGTTGCCCTAATGTGAAGCTCTCTAACTTTTTTTTTCCAGCAACATAATCCAGATGGGATCTTCAACATGTGTTATTGCATTACCTTATCAACATCAGGTCGCTCCTCCCGGTCAACCTGGAAGTCCCAATTAACTTTATTAAAAAATGAAATGCAAATTGATAGATAAAATAAAAGAATAAAGTAAACAAATCATATCAATGCTATATAACAAGTTAAAAGTAATATATGAACAAGAGTAATATAGAAAATCAGACATCAATGGAAGTACTCAACTCACTCTATGTAAATAAAAAAGGAAAGCAAAAAAAAAAAAAGACTTACCTTGATACTAACAAACCATTCATTTAGCCGTTTTGCAACCTCTTCACTCTCAAACGACTCGACCTCCATGACATGACACCTAAAGCACCAATTTACACGAACAATGAGATCAGAAACCAAAAATGCCAGCTTAAAGATTTTCAGAGCTATCAGTTTCAGTTAAAATTTATAATAATAAAAAAGCTCCGCAGACACAGACTAGGCAAATAAACAAATCTCTAGAATATCAAGTATCATACTCTACTAATTTGCATGCCTGAAATCGCTGAAATAACTGACGTATGCATGGACAGGCATCAGCAAATTTTTATTCAGCAGATGAATTCTTTTCTAAAGAAAGAACAAGATTTCAGAAAATTCTTTAAAAATGCATACATACTCAACCCATTAATCCACATTATGCAAGCTTAGGTGTGTATATTGTGCAAAAACAATGAAACCTGTTTGTGTGCATTGCACAAGCTATGAAATGATGGAAGCTCCACTTACCAATGGCATGTGCTGTATCCAACTTCATTTTTCCATACGCAAAGAGAGGTAGAAATAAAAGCATCCACAGAGTTAGAAGAAAAAAACCAAACAAGAAGATTTTCCAGAAAATTAAGGATTAAAAAACTAAACTACTATAAGAACGAAAACACACATACTTGACAGAAAGATGGGAACATCTTTTTTGCGCGCTTTTTCAAAAGCTTCCTCTCCCCATGGGTACCAATCAACCTTCAGAAAACAGAATCCAAGATTTAACAAAGATGCAAACATTGTTGAAAACTGTTTTAACACTATTTGTTCAATAGACACCAAACCCTGGAATAATATCTGCTAGATCAATCACTACATCCGACTCAATATCTCTTCATGCTATGAACAATGCACAACTGTTTTAGAGGAACAATTGAACTAAAAACAGGACAAAACAAGAATGTGCCCACGAAAGGGAACGCACAAAATCTGCATATAACAAGTTTTTGTTCAGTTTACATGCACTAGGCGCTAAAAAAATCAGTTATATTCATACAAGATACACGATATAAGTTCAAATTTTCATCATGCAACATGTTAGTCAACAGGGTTTTGATAATCTTAGGGCAAGTGCAGCAAGCTCCCACCCCACCTCCTAAGGCTGAGGTGGCGGTGGGAGCTTGCTGGACTTGCTCCAGCAAGCTCCTAAGGGAGCTCTGAGAGCTTCCGTGGCACAAAGCCTAGGGCTTTGTGCCACGGAGCTCCCAAGCTATTAAAAAAAAAATTTTTAATGATATTGTTGTAGCTCCTAACTAGGAGCTTGTTGGAGCTCCATAAAAGAAGAAGTGACTCTCAAGGCTTAATTTGTTAATTTTTTATTCTAAAATGCTTGAGAGCTCTTAAGAGCTTGCTAACTAGGACTCCCAGCTGGGAGCTTGCTGCACTTGCTCATTATCAAACAAATAGTTCAAATAGTCACAAACAGAAATTGGTAAGTGGGTAATTTTTAGTGATCTATACTTAGTTTATTTGTTTTAGATTTGAGCATATTAGGTCTGTTTCACGACACAGAATGTAAAAATGTCATCTTTGACAATCTTCCAGTTATAATTCTCCCAATTTACAGTTTATATAAAAAATAACAGTAACTACATAACTTAATCGAACATGATTATTAGACTCATAAAGTACCTTTCATTTAATTCATAATAAGTTCTTATGAAGCTTTTCACAAAATTAAAAATTTGTAGACAGCTTGCTCGACAAAATGCTCGGGAGAAAGAAAACAAACTTACCGGGTTATGCGCGTGCTGGAGGAGATACGGGCTGTGCTCGGAGGCGAGACGGTTGGTGTACTTGTGAGGCGGACGGCTGGATCCGGCCATGGAA